TGAGGTTGGAGAGGGGCAAGGAGAAGGTAGATATCCAGCCGGGAGGAGAGGTAGAGAAAATTCAGATGGTCAAAGGATATGAGGAGAGGAAGTTTAGAATTGAGAAATATTTGGAGGAGCCCATCCGGTCGAAGTTGATTGATCTGGTCAGAGATTTTGCGGATATTTTTGCTTATACGGTGGAAGAATTGACAGGGATAAGTGCGGACGTGATCGTGCATCGTCTAAACATTGACCTTAGTGTGAGGCCGGTGAAACAAAAAAGGAGGCACCATGGGGCGGAGATGGACAAAATCATTGAGAACGAGGTCTAAAAGTTATTGGGAGCGGGGCATATCAAGGAGATCCAGTTCCCCGAATGGTTGTCAAATACTGTGATGGTGTCAAAGGCGGAGGGGAAATGGAGAATGTGCATTGACTTCCATGATCTAAAGAAAGCATGCCCGAAGGATCTGTACCCATTGCCCAGAATCCACCAGCTGGTCGACTCAACTGCTGGGTGTGAATTGTTGAGCTTGATGGATGCCTCGCAGGGGTATCATCAAATCCCCTTGGCGAGAGAGGACAGGAAGAGGGTGAGCTTCGTGATGAGTCGAGGAACTTACTGTTACGTGGTGATGCCGTTCGGCTTGAAGAACGCAGGTGCCACATATCAAAGGTTGGTCGACAAAATTTTTAAAGAGCAGCTGGGGAGGAATATGGAAGTATATGTGGATGATATGTTGGTGAAAAGTAAGGAGGAGATGGATCATGTGAAGGACTTGAAGGAGACATTCTTGACCTTGAGGAGATATGGGATGAAGTTGAATCCAGCTAAGTGCTCGATCGGGGTGAAGTCGGGGAAATTCTTGGGATACTTGGTGACCAAAAGAGGTATCGAGGTGAATCCGGAGAAGGTTCGAGCGGTGATGGAGATGAAGTCCCCAACGAATGTTAAGGAGGTGGAGATCTTGGCTGGTCGAATTGCGGGGCTGAGCCATTTCATATCAAAGGTAGCGGAAAGTAGTTGTTTATTATTTAAAACATTATTGAAGAGTGCGAAGTTCCAGTGGACAGAGGAGGCTCAAAGGGCATTTGACGAGTTGCGAGGATTGTTAGCCGACCTACCTCTGTTGGCCAAGCCGGTGCCAGGTGAAGATCTAGTGTTGTACATTTCTATCGGGGAGAGAGATGTGAGTTTGGTGTTATTGCGAGAGGAAGGGGTCGCGCAGTTCCCTATCTATTACGTGAGCAGGGTGATACAGAGAGCGGAGATGAGGTATTCAGAGATTGAGAAGTGTGCTCTGGCAGTAGTAGTGACTGGTCGAAAGCTGAGGCCTTATTTCTTGAATCATACGGTGAAGGTGAGAACAAACATGCCATTAGGAGAAACGCTCGGCCGGCCATCGGTTTCTGGTCGATTGGTAAAATGGAAGGTCGAGCTGAGTGAATACTCGTTGTTGTATGAACCGAGGAGGGCTATAAAAGCGAAGGTGTTGGCAGACTTCATTCAGGAAGGCACGAAAATCAAGGAGGAACCTGGAGGGATATGGCAGTTGTTTGTGGATGGATCGGTAGCGAGAAGTGGGGCGGATTAGGGATTGTGCTTGTTTCCCATAAGGGCGATTACTTAGAGTTCGCAGCCAAAGTGGGATTCAAGATATCCAATAATGAGGTTGAGTATGAGGCAGTGATCAAAGGGCTGCAGTTGGCTATGGCGGGAGGAGCCCGAAAGGTGCAGGTACATTCTGACTCTCAGCTTGTAGTCGGGAAGTTTCAAGAAATTATTTAAAGTCAAGGAGGACCGGATGCAAAAATATGTCGATGGGATGAGAAAGTTGAAAGAGGAGTTTGATTCGTTCGAGCTAATACAGATCCCTCGAGGAGAAAATGGTCGAGCAGATTTGTTATCGAAAATTGCTCAAAGTCTGGTGGACTGTAAGAGCAGAAGTGTTACTCTATTGCATCTAGAGAGAAGTGTGGTCGAGGCTGAAGTGGCGGAGATTGAGGAAGTGGAGGATTAGAGGGCCTCGATCTTAGAGGAGCTGAAAGTAGGGGCGATGAAGGCGGTGAGGAGATTTTTTAAGCACGGAGGCATTCTTTACAAGCGGTCGTATGCTGGACCACGTTTACGTTGTGTGACTAAGGACAAAGGTCGGTATGTGTTGAGAGAAGTGCACGAAGGGTGCTGCAGTGATCATAGCAAGTCGGGGGCCTTTGTCGCAAAAATTCTGAGGGCATGATACTTCTGGCCAATGATGAAAGAGGATGCGAAGGTGATGGTGAAGAAATGCTTATAATGCCAAAAGAATGGCCCACTTATCCATCAACTGGCGGAGGGGATGACAACGATGAGTGCTCCTATACCCTTCGCCCAGTGGGAAATCGGCCTGGTGGGGCCGATGCCATAAGGAACGTGGTAGAGGAAATTCTTGATCGTGGCGGTGGATTACTTCACGAAATGGGTGGAGGCCGAGCCCTTGGCAAATATCACAGAGAAGAAAGTCATCAAATTTTTATACAACAATATTTGCTGCAGATTTGGCGTCCCTAAAGTGTTGATATCCGACAATGGTACTCAATTCAATGACAAGCGGGTTCGAGCATGGTGTGAAGATATGAAAATCGAGCAACACTTTGCCTCAGTCGCTCATCCGCAAGCTAATGGCCAGGTCGAGGTAACTAACTGAATTATACTGAACGAGCTGAAAACAAGGCTGAAAAAGGCCTCAGAGGCATGGGTCGATGAGTTAACCTCAGTACTTTGGGCGTATCGCACAACTCCCAGGTCGACAACGGAAGAAACACCCTTCAGTTTAGTCTATGGGATGGAGGCATTGCTGCCAATCGAGGTCGAACTATCATCGCAGAGGTCGAGCACATATGACCCGAAGAAAAACGAAGATGTAGTGATGGCGGCTTTGGACACTATTGAGGAGCTGTGCAAGAGAGCAGCGGTTAGAGTGAGGTGTACAAGCAAAGAATGCGAGCCGCTCATGACAAGAAGGTGAAAGTTCGCGGTCTCCAAGTAGGTGACCTGTTTTGGGAACGTGTCGATGTGCTCAAACATGTGGGAAAGCTAGAGCCGAACTGGGAGGGGCCATACCTGGTGGATCAAGTGCACGCAGGAGGAGCGTACTCGCTGAAGGACGCAGAAGGCCGATCACTTGCAAGGTCATGGAACATAGCTAATTTGAAAAAATATTATGTGTAAAATTTTTTGCTTTTTTCAAAGAGAGCTAGAGAATTTGAACAAGGATGTAAATTGCAAAGTTTGCTCAAAAAGTTAATGAAATTCAGTAATCCTTCCATATTACCTGCTTTATTTCACATTTTCTTATGCTTGGTATGTTGGTATGATTTGAATGACAAGATGTATATGGTGTGGTTTAACTTGGAAGTTG